CTCCTCAAAAGACCAATTTAAACCTAGCTCGGTAAATAAATAACAATTACTTTTCTTAAAGTTAAAAGTTCAATCTTACACCTCCATATTTGATGTCCTCTACAAAAGATTAGATTTTAAAATTTTCTCTCTAAAGTTACATTCCATGCATGCATATAACGAAAGTTTTATCCCGTTTAACAAAAAATTTATAACTTCAACACTTATTTTGACTGTCTAAAAGCATTTGCAACGTGTTAAACATTACATTATTGAATTTACATGAGCTTAAACCCAATAATTTTTAGTATATAATGCATAATGAGTTAGCTATATCACGGCGTAGGATGATACACACAACACCTAGTACCCATATGATAGACTATGGAAATAATTATTAGATATTTGATAGAGTTATTTAAATACTAATTTCACGTGTTATTTTATTTTTCATATATTTATTTTTTCTATCCTATTGAAAGTGTCTTCTCCAGTTTGGTCTTGAGCAAAAAAAAAATCTATTTAAAATTTTACATTTCTATTAAAAGAGTAAATACAACGTCAGATATATGGTGATTCTTAAATTTGATCACAGTTAATAAGCCCATGTGAATGAGACATTATTGTTTCTTTTTTTTCCCCTCAAACAAGATGGATTAATTAGCTAGGACACTCTGGAAATAAGCAATAAAAGAATTGGGGCTCACAAGAATATAAATGAACAAGAAAATGATATGCCTCAGCACCCAACAAGAAGTCAATAACCAATTAATGAGAATAATTGTGTTATTTTGAGAGTAAATATAGTCTATTGTGTCGGTAAAATTCTATCACCAGAGTTTAACTTTATATTTAATTCTTAGAGTGCATTCACATTCTCAATTTTGGGATCCGAGTGTTTAATTTGACTATTTATTCAAATTGAATTTGTTATCGTTTGACTGCTAAAGCAAGCATATTCGATGATAATTGATATATATCTCCAATTAAAACGTTGTGAGTTCGACCTCAGACCGACCCGTACAGATTTTACTCAACAAAAAAGGATGTGCTGCAGTTGGACTCACTTGATCAAATAAAGTTGTTTGATGAAAAGATTTTTGTTTGTTTTGATGGTAAGTGGGCAACAAGAACTAGAAGAGAAGTCAAAGGACAGCTGGATCATTATAATATAATCACTAATCGGTGAGGAAATGGAAGTGACAGACAGGTTCCCTGCCCATTGCGTACGTCACAAGTTTCCAAATCGGGTCGTTCATCTTGGGCCGGTCCGGGCTTGCCTTGTGGACTGAGATTCTGCCATTGGGCTTCTCAACACCCGCCTTCCCCTGTCTTTTTAAAATTACTTATTTAGCCTTATTTAGAAAGAAAGGAAAAAAACAAAAAACTAAACAAAAAGTTTAAGCTAATTACAAAACTAAACCATATCATAATCCATGAATAACACATTAATTTCTTTTTGGAAAGTGTGTATTTAACTAGGTACCAACCATCTCCTATAAAAAAAAGATTATTATCATCAACCCATACTATACTATTAGAAAGGATAGGTTTGAAACTCAAACCAGATACCAGACCCTCTCATCTTGCACGACGTTTGAACGTTTCGAAGATGAGGAAGAATTAGCCAACGAACTAAAAACTATAGCCAGTTAGCAACTCTAATTTGGGAAGATAATTTTGCCGGCAGAAGACTCTGGTGCTAGCCGGAAAAACTTCATTTTTGTTGATAGATGATCCACTGACAACCATCGATAGAATATCCACTGAATGATAAGTGCGATTACCATAATTGCAGGACATTTCCTAATGCTCTCTTTCAAAAGTAGTGTCTCACACCTTTTCAAACGTACACAATCTTTTTGCATTCAAATAACCTTGATTGCACACCAATGTCCACAACTTTTACTTCGAAGTATACGTGGTCGAGAGGGCATGCACCACACCAGTACAAGATTCTACTTATGGGTAATTGCTACTTAAATTCATGTCACAATCCACTACCTTGAATCGTTTGTTGGCATATGTATAGCCTCAGCCCCAATGCTACACCAAGCATAAATAATATCAAATTGACTATTTATACTTCATTAAACCGAATAATAATATATTATTTTTACATTTCACACGTTAAGATGGAAGCATAATATTTATATAATCACATAAATTCAATCTCCACAAAACCCACTCTTATATCATATATTAACCTTAACACATTGTAAATCTTCAAATGAAATATAAATTTCACAAATAAATGTAATTTCTATAACGCCCATTTACCCCCATAAAGCTAAACTAGCCAACGCCAATAGCACTGTGCATTAATTCTGTAAGTTAAAGTTGGTCTGAGTGGCCATGGCAACCTTTTTTGGGTTCCAATCAGACATAACATTCCCTTATCCATTCCATGTTTTCAAAACAGGCACTTCCAATTCTGCACATATTAATATATATATATGAATTTATATTAAGTTTGCTCAGAAGATGTACACTGTCCGAGTCCGACCACATTAAAGTACACTAATTATTGGAGGTTACGTACGAGAAGATTTAAGGATTAATTTTAAAAAAAGAAAAAAGAAAAAAGGAAAATTGGTGATTGGTGTGGTAATTTCCGGCACTTTTTCCATTAAAAAGTTTATTCTTGTCCTCTCCTTCTTTATTCCTCCACCATTTACACTTTAGAAGCTAAGCTACCACATGAAATTGCTCACCTTCTTCCTTTTTCTTTTACTTAGCTCGATTTCAGCTTTGTTTTGTGCATGTTTCCATTTGATCTTTATGGGAAAATAATATCTGCCTCTTAAATTTTACAAGTTTATTTTAATTAAGTTTGGCATAGTTTAAAATTCCATTTCCATAGAGTATAATTTTATGCAACATGCACGGTACCCGTTTCGCAGTTTACAATGGTAAGAAAAACATATAAGAGACTGTTATATATATTTGTATGGATAAGACAATGTCTTTAATAATTGTGTTTTAGGATTCTATTCTTTTTTTTTTTCTAGGAAAATTTAAACTTATTTATTGAAATTAGATTGCAAGATAAAAGAATAATTATGTTGGTCAACAACAATGTTTTAAAATAATCGTTAAGGAAAAAGACATTGGTCAAGAGATTCTTCTAAATATTTTAAAGTCCTCTTTTTTGTTGAAAATTTCAAATAATTAAATGTAATAAGTTAGTTCAAGAAAGCTTCAGAAAAAATTATAAAAACTTTCAAATATCCTATACTGTTTTTTAATACATCAGATATAATGATGGAGTATCGAACCTCCGACCGTAGAAGAATAAACAAGGTGCTTTAACCGTTGAGTCATATTCACATTTAGTATTTATATATAAAATTTGAGGGGAGGAGTGTACAATTATTCAAATCTCATCAACATATATATATATATATAATCCCATCTTTATAACTTTATCTTTCAAAAGAGAGACACTAAATGGAGACAAAAATTAAAATATAACAAGGAAAAAGGATGCTAATATTATTCTCTTTATCCTAGCTAGCTCCACTTTAATTTATTCTCCATTGTTACAAATTTAAATTTCCTCAATAAGGGGCTCATAACTAGAATATAATATTTACCCATATTCTTTCCTTTTAGGGTCACCTAAAAAAATACTATTTACTTTTTAAAAATTGTTTTGTAACCTGAGTCAAACTTTAAAAATTAAAAAGAAAAGCAATTTTATAAATCTTCTTTTTCTGTTATTAAAATTCAACCACAAAGATTTTAAGGTTATATTTAAAAAACCTAGAAACTAAAACATACAATTTATTAAATAAGAACCATTGGACTGTTCCCCCCCAAATTTAGGTTTTTAATTTGAAAAAAATCAAACTTGTTTTACCCACAATATTTTTTATTTTGTTCTTCATATATTTAACAATAGGTTTAAATACCAACTCATTTTCTTTATTTAACTTAAAAGAGTTTTTTTTTCTTATTTTTTTGGACGTGTCCATTTTGGTTATTTTACTTTCAACTTTAGTTCATTTTAGTTTTGGTACTTTCAAACGACCACTTTGATCTATAATTTATCTATATACTTTTAAAAGGTAACCATTTCAATATCTTCATTTTTTTCAATCAGTATCTTAGCACGATACTCACTCACTAAATTTCTTGAATTGTAGTAATAAATTAGTAATAATTTCTTTTATTGTGTATAAAATGTTGTAAAATTTTGCAAATAATAACAAAAATAGACGTTTTTAAAGTATAAGTATTAAAATGAACCAAAATTGGAAGTACAAAAACAAATTGAACGTTTTAAAACTAGATAATCTAAAAAATGAACCAAAATCAAAAGTACAAGGACCAAATTAGCATTTAAACCTTAATAACATTATCGTTAAATTTGTAACAAATTTTGAAAAAATGTAAATAAAATTATGGTTTTTAAACTTGTCTACAATTTTAAAGACAATTTAGAAAATATATTACATATAAAACTTCTTCTTTATTAACAAAATATTAACAGCTAAGACATCCACCAACCTTTTCAAAAAGTTAAATGTCAAATTCTCACCCCACAATTCTAATGTTATATTCTAAAAGCAAAACATTAGAACAAATCAAAATCAATATAAAAAGTTTCTGAACAATCTTACTTTTTTGAGTTCGGGCAGAGGTTAGAACCCATGCAAAGGAACTAAATAATCTCAATTTATTATATAAAAAAAAGAGACAAAAACAAAACCAAAATTTTAAGCATATGCAGTGATCATTGCGATAAAGTAGCTGTATGAGCCAACAAAATGAGAATGTTTTTTCTGCAATATAATTTTTTTTCCTGATCCAAATTTAACTCAATTAGTTAAAATACCTATTTTTACCAAATAAACGTGGTTTGAATATCCATCTCTAAATTTAACAACTTTCAGAACTTAAAAAGAAAAGAACAAGAGAGAGTGAGCCACCAGTATACAAATATATATAGATATAATTTTTTCGTTTAAGAGAAAAAATAAACCAATAAAGAGAATAGCAATAAAGATGGTGTGTAATCATATGAGTGACAACTTTAATTTCATGTAGCTATTCATGTATGTATGTGTATATATAAATATTATAATATATAATATATGCATAGTTTTACTTTCTCTCTCTTCTCTCTCTTATTCCATTCCCTCCCCTCTCTCTCCCTCTCCTATTTTTTCCCCTTTTTTTACTCTCTTGTGTGAAAGGATGATCAATATATATCCAATAGGGAGTGGAAGGAGAGAGCCGGGTTTGTCAGGATCCGAGAAGGGGGAAACGGGGCGATCCATGGGTTTTCGGTGGTTTTTTCCTTTGGCCCACGAGAAGAAATATATAAATAAATTCAGAGGTGGGGTTCGAAGTACCAATGATGAGGACGATGATTATGATATATCTGGTTTTCGGACTATCCGTGCCCGTGGATATTCGGGTTGTCTGGGTCTGGCCAGAACGAAGAATACTTCATCCATTCTGTCTCGCGGCTATTCATGGATGATTCCTGCTAAAAAAACCCACTTCTTTGTCAATGCAACTCAACACAATATTTGTATTAAAAAAAAAACTCAGCACAATATTCAAAATATACATCAAATTTTTTAACCATTAAACACAAAAGAAAGACAAAATTTTACATTCTAATATGTTAATTCTGAAAATTTAGGCTACTTTAAGTTTTATTCTACTGTATTCTAGTTCTTGTACGTAGGGATTTAATCTATTTTAGTTACGTAGTTTTAATTTTTTATACTAGTTGTGACTCAAATCTTTGAGACTATTTTTTAGGAGATTAAATCTGACCATTTAAAAATATAGAAACTAAAATATAAGAAAATTCTAGTCTATTTATTTGATACGACATATTTTTATTATTTAAAAAATTTTAGTGATTCAGTTTTTCATTAAATTCTTTTAAAATATGAAAAATACTTAGCTCAAAGAGCAAATCTTGCCAACCTCAAAAACTGACAATTTATTGTTCTTCAAAAAAAAATTTATGCTTTTACATTTATGTCTCTTGGTTGTTAAAGATTCCATGCTGGCAACCTAATATTAGGTAAGCTAGGTAAACAAGTATTTTCCTAAAAATATTCCAATAAAAATGCGCGACACTAGAGAGTCACAAAACTCCTCCTCATAGGCAAGTAGAGCTCGAAATAGTATTTATACCTAAAAAAGAGATGGTAGACGAAAGAGGAAAAGAAAAACTGAAGAAGAAAAAGTAGTAGAAGTTAACTCCAATTCCTTCCTTTTTCCTTTTTCTTTTCTTTCGGTTCTTTTAACACCTTTTTCTTTCAAGGTTCTTGTATGATAAACAAAAGAAAGAGAAGAAAAAAAAATGGTGGGGTTCATGGAATTCAGAGTCAAAAAGTAATAGAAAAAAGAGAGAGAAATGATATTGACAGTGGACTCACAGGTAGAGGTTGTTTGATGGAAGAATTAGAAGAAGTGCAGCCCATGATGAGTTCTTCCAAGCCTGACGCCGACCTTGCTCCCAATTTATGATGCTCAGCTTCAGCTGCTTCCTGCTTTTTAATTTCCCATTCCACGCAGTCAAATTTCCAAAACACAGACAATGAAATGATAATAATCATCGTCTTATAATAATCATATTCTGACAAGACACAACACTGCCCTTTCAATCTCAATGTTTGTTCTTTTGCTGCCTTTTTACCTAACACCTACATAGCTAGAGCTTCTTCTACCCACATAATTATTTCCCTTGCCAAACTCTTACTCAAACCCCTTTCTATCTCATCATCACTCATTTTTACTTTTCACTTTTGTTTTTAACTCTTGGCTTCTAACCCCATAATTACCAAAGCTTTTGTTTGGGTGTGCATGAGATTAGTAAGAATGAGTTAATTAAGTATCTTTGATCCATTTGGAACATTTTGGAGCGGTGGAAGCCAAATTAGAGATTTTTCTATAAAAGAAAAATTAGTTTTTACTTTCAACTTATTTAGTTATTGTATTTTCAAAATTGTCATCGTACTGGTTCTTGTACTTTTAATAGACCACCAATTTGGTCCTTGTTTGTAGATTTTCATACAAATTTTATACACAATTGAAACATTTTCATACAAATTTATGGCTACATTATTTCAAGAAATTTAGTAAATGCTAAAATATTAACTAAAAAAAGAGATAAAAATGATAATAATAGAACTATTTCTCTTAATTGAAGTTTCTTCTCCTAGTTCTCCTAGTCTCCTTCTTTTGTATGTTTCTCACCTACCCTTAACGAAATAATACCTCTTTTTTTAAAAAAAGAAAAAAGAAAAAAATACAGGACTAAATTAATTGGTTTTTAAACCTATAGTTTTTAACCTAAGAAAGTTCATGCATTTTAAATATGTCCAAGTTTTGAAGTGTTTAATTGTAATATAGGGTTAGTTTCTAATTTTCAAATTGATCATCTAATATTTCAGTGCCACCACCGTGGGGTTTTCTTTTGTTTAGTTTCTTCCCTAATATCCTTTTAAAAGAAGAAGGTAGTTGACCACAAAGTGATCGAATTTCCCTTTATCTTTTTATTATTCTTCTTTTTAACATGTTAACGCAAAAAGCTGTTCAAACCAACCATACATCTTACAAAGCTATTATTTCCAACTCCATGTATATGACCACATAACTGAAAACCTTCCAAATTCAATCTTTTTCGAGAAACCCACAGAAACCCCTCATGCAAAATCTAAAATTTCTCTTCTTTTAACATACAAAAGAACCAAAACCCCATTGGAAAACACAGAAGAATTATGAACAAATATATATTAAAAAAAAAGTACCTGAAAGTGTTGTTCGTTGTGGATGATGATCCGAGAATGATGGTCATGGTATGAATCGACGATGGAGGTGTGGTGGAGAAGAGGAGGAGGAGGAGGAGAGATGATGGTGGAGATTTGGTGGGTGACGTGGAAGCCTGTGGTTGGTAGGTGATGGTGAACAACTGAATGACGGTGATGGTCGTGGGCCACCATCAGGCTCTGATGATGATGATGCTGGTGATCCAATTCCACACCTGCTGCTGCTGCTCTACTGCTCTGCTCTCGCATCTCAAATTCAGCGTTGCTACTGCATGCGCCTGTCCCTGTTGGAGCCTTCGCCATTTTTCTTTCTGTTGAAGCCTCCTCCATCCCCATCTGCGACAAAACGGACTAAAATAAACAAAAGTTGAAGTTGAAAAAATAGTCACGGGAACGGTAGGAAGAAAAATGGAGAAATAAAATCGTAAAAAGTTTTAATTCATTCGCTAAATATTTGCTAATTTTAATAAGGATAAGACTTGGTTTTTATTGGTAAGTAAATATCTCTTGCTCGGAGAAACGACAATTAAAAAAATGAATACACAAAGGAAGAGAGAGAAAATAGAATAAATAGTTGTCGGAAGAGACACCATTTCATTGAAAAAGTATGTGAGAATCATACTAAGAAGTGACTACGTTAAAGTACTTCAATTAAGAAAAATGGTAGAAATACTGTAATTACAAAAAATATTGAATTTAGTTGTTAATTTTTTGACGGTGGTAAGTAGGAAGATATCTACATATAGATAAACACTTAAATTTTATCATTTTTACTAATTATATCAGGTCGAGTAAGTTTACCATCGCCACATCTAACATTTACTGTAACAAAAAGATAGAATTTGAAAATGTTAAAAATATGGGATTTAATTGAAACTTTTTGAAACAAGGGTAACTAACATATATTTGTAGCCTAATTTTGGCAATGTAGGTTATTTCATGAGTGAAGAATAATGAACGAAGTGAAAAAAATTGATGGAAGAATTGGGTATATAAACTAACCTCATCAAAGCTTGTTCTGAAAGGAGCAAATCCAAAATGGTCAGATTTGAGGTGGTGTTGAATATCCAACGAACTAAAGCTGGAAATTGAGGCTCCAACGCCGCCGGCCGGCGACAAAATCTCGTCCGTCGGAGCACTCGCCGTAGTACTCTCCCGTCTCCCCATATTAGGAACCTCGAAACTTCCCTCCGCCGCTGCGACGCTTCTCTCCGACCAGTTGCACTGTCGGGGCTGCGTCTGGTAAAATATCTTAGACACTACCAATTCTCCTTCCTTCTCCTCCTCATGCTGCCCCAAATGGTACTGGTGCATCACCCAGTTGGTTTTTTCGGGTTTTCGGTTTTTTCCAAAGTTCGTGTACAAGACTAGGATTTTCTTGCACCCCTTTTGCTTCCCGTTCGCCATCACCGGCCTCGTTTTCCCCGTCTTGTGCCACCGCGTTTCGCCGCCCTGCAAGTCACATTCCGTCTGGATCTTCCTTCGTTTTCGCGTCCCGGTCGTGTAAGCCTTCGATGGCCTATGGAAAAAATGCCTGCTCAATCCATCCCTCGAAACTCCTGATTCAATGCATACACAAATCATTCAAAAGAGGCCGAAACAACATGACCACACAGTATCGTCCTTTGATTTCGCACTGTTAATGACGGCCACGTTGAATAGTTTTTTTTCGTAAACAAAAAATAACCAAATAAATCTCCCAAAAATCAAAGTTAGGTTGACTTAGGTGCAACCAAACTGTCTTCTACCTGAAAACCTAACTACATTGAATAATGAAACCAAAAAAAAAAAAAAAACAAGACAAAATAATAGAGAGAGAAATAAGAGACCAGGAAGTTTCTCAGGATGGGTATAGCAAATTCCATCTTCTCCTTCAATCGTGGGAATGAACTCATCAATCAACGGATGAGATTTCATGTCTTTGGCCTTAACTTTTGCTTCCAGGTGTTCGATCAATTCTTGATCTGTCGGATCAAATTTCACTCCTGCTGGTAGACCTACCCAATCCTGCAACCAACCAAAAAAAAACCCCCCTTTTCAAATTAAACCTAACAAAAATATAAACAATTTCTGGGTTCTTTTAATCAATCCTTTATGAACATGATCAATCAAATAATTCAGATGAACAAAAAAAAAAAAATCAGTACCGGCCTTCCTTCAAGCTTGTGTCCACAGCCAGGGCAGTGTTTAGATCCACACATCTGATGCTGTTCAAGCTTCGCATCTATTATGGAATCAGAGCCACTGATTGAACCAAATTTTGAACTATTTCTCATCTCTATCTTCTCTCTCTACACCACTTCTCGTTCATATCATGAAACAACTCCACCACCAACGACACCGTTTCACAGCAACAACAACAAAAAAAAAAGGCCCCAAAATCTTCAGTTGCTTTAACTGAAACAAGACAGAATTGAAGGAAGCCCAAAAAAAAGAAAAAAAAAAGAAGAAGAAAAAGGGGAGATTGTGCTCTTAATTCAACCTACGCACCGCACCGACCCCTTTAATCCTTTGCTGAATTAAAACAAAGGACAATTTTGTTCTTACAACAGCCGTTTTATTCAATAAAAAAAAAAACCCTTCAATTTGGGTTTTTTCTTTTCTCTCTCTCTCTCCACACCCTTTTCTTTGAGAGCCTTGACTACAAAAGCAAAAAAGGAAAGAAACGGCCTTCACACAGCTGTTGCTAAATTGCTATACCATATACTTATGGATATTATAATTTATATTCATATACTCGTAGCTCGTATAAGGTAAAGTATTTAATGTTTAAGTATTATTATATTGTAAAGCACACAACTTTATGGGTTGAACGAGCTAATTTTAATATCAGGACACAGAAACAAGGGATTTAAATGAAACCCCATATTAAATTGAAGCACTCTAAAGTAAATAGAATATACATACATGGCGCTTTAATAAAAAGTTATTCGAATTAAGACGTTGGGTGGGAAAAATGAATCAAAATCTAATGTAAACTATATACGAAGTGGAAAAAAAACATGAAATTGGGAATTAAAGATGGGAACTTTATTGTGTTTTCTCAATTATTTTTAGAGGGAGGAGAAGTTTTCATCTGTTGATGGGGTTTTGAGCTGTGGCCATGATGCCTTTTGGCCATGAATGATGAGAGAGAGAGAAGAAGAAGAGGAGAGAGAGAGAGATTGCTTGATAAGAAAGGGAAATGAGGAGTAGAGAGTGTAGTACTGGAATATGGACCACCACCAAGAGTTGTAATTAGAGCTGACTTAAAAACCCTAAAAAATTTTAAAGGGTCTACGGAGGGGAAACTTGGTCCACAAGCAGAGTGACCATTCAAGAAGCTGTTTTTATTTATTTTTTTAGGGTTGTGTTTGGTTTTCCAAATTAAGAGGGGTTGGATGTGTATAAACCCGAGCAGTTGTATTCTCTGTAATCAGAATAGCGAGTCTTTGGACCACTTATTTCTCCATTGTCCTTACTCTGCATCTGTATGAGAGTGTTTGCCTGACTTCTTCAATATCTCCATGGCGGTTTCTTACTAGAGTTGAAATTTCATTTCGGAATTTATCAACATATCTATTGAAATTTTTCCAATAGTAGAAATGTGCTATGGTGCAATGATTTTAGCTCTATTATTTTTTTGGTTCATTTGGTTGGAGAGAAACAATCGTCGCTTCTAAGAAGCTTTCAGATGCTTCAAAATTACTGCTAATTTCACTTGGTTTTCAAATTCGACGTTCTTTTGTAATTATAGTGCTTTTACTTAACATCCTCTATTTGTTGGGTCTGTAGGGTGATTGCAAACAAAGTCCACAATGACTAGGGAAATGAATGATCATGGGTATATAATAGAGGACAATTATCTCGGTATGAGGCTTTTTGGATGAAACCAAAAGCAAAGCCGTGAGATTATGCCCAAAACAAAAACGGACAATATCATACAATTGTGGAGATACGTAGATACTCGAGATACCGTTGTGTATTTCTTACATACTTTTGTGAATGAATGGTGTTTTTTCTTTTAAAAAAATTAAAAGGGGTTGGACTATTGTTACACTTCGGTGGGGTCCATTTGTAAGAGATCTTGTGTTCTGCTGCCTGGGAAAAAGTAATATATAAATAAATAAATATATATATATGAGAATGAGATCAGATGATGGCTAGGCTTCACGTTTTGTTCACATTCTCATTCAGTAATGTAGGAACCAAATGATGGATTGAGAAGGCTCCACTTTCCCACCAACCTTTTCTTCTTCTTCTTCTTCTTCTGCAATTTCCACATCCGTATGCTCCTAATTCTTTCCTATAAATATCAATCAAAATTAGGGCGGTGAAATGGGTTCGGACAGTTGAAAATAAACGTAAATCCAAAGATTTTTTAATAGCTCGAAATCCAAGAACACCCATGGCATGGCATATTATCTAAAAACCTCTTTTCTTACAATACTGACTCGTTCGTAAGATCTATGATTTAATAGTAGAGAAGAAAAATGTAGCTTTAAATGTAACTAGAATTGACATTTATGAATCTAAACATGGTTCGGTTGATAAAATAAAGATTATGATCATTTTTAAGATGAATAGTCCAATATTCTACCCTGAAATTTTGAACTAAAAAAAACTATAATTGAAAATTTGATTAATGTAGAATATATTAGGTTAAATTACAAATTTAGCTGTCCCAACCATTCAATTTTAATTTTGTATTTAGTAAATTTCTTAACTTTAAAAAGTGGAAGGTTCAATGACATATTAGTCGCTTAATTTTTAGAGACAAAAATTTAAAAGTTGATAAACTTATTAGATGCACTAAACTTATAAATTAGTCTATATGTTAATGAATTGACATCAAATATATTAGTCAATTAGTGATTTGTGATTGATTAGTGACATGTATTAATAAATAAAAGATTCATATTTTTTAAATCATAATAATTTCCTCAAAATTAAATTTGCCTTGGTTTATTTTTTCTTTACTTTGGACGAGCAAGACAAGCGACGACTGATCAGGTTTAATTTATGGATTTTTGCTAAAGAGACTTTTGGCTATATTATGATATTATCTTACTTATGATTAATGAACTATTTAAATTATTTACAAACAAAAAAAAAACTTAATGTTTGTTCCTCATACTTTTCCTGGCTTGTGATTGCAACATTTTTTTTTTTGCCAACTCTGTAAAATGGACTTTTGGGTGTGAATTTATTATTCACTCAAATATTTTAGCAAGTAAATATTTGATTTTTTTTTACATCCACCTAAGAAAATATGAAGTGGAATTCACT